TCCGTGCACTGCCAAGCCAAAGTGCTCACTCTGCAACCCCCTAAACATGACAGGCTTGGTTTGGCACTAGTAAAAAGGAGTCTCTGTACCATTTCCGGACATGTTATGTCCAAGTGTATAAGTCCATATTCTGTTACTATAACAAAATACCTGAGACTCAAAAACTTTATAAAATGAAGAGTTTGCTTAGCTCACAATTCTGGAAGTTTGTACACATGATGCCTGTACCTGCTCAGCACTCACTGGTGAGGGCCTCGTGGTAGATGGTACATGGGAGAGGAAGAGATCACACTGGAAGATGGGAATCCTTTCCAAGGACACACCCCTGTTTACTAAGGACTGCCCACTCTCCCCTACCTCCTAAGAGCCCCACCACCAGTTCACACCAGTGTTCAGGGAACCAAGCCTCTATCTCATGACCCCTTAAGGGAGACACTCAAGCTATGTACAAACCACAGAATTCTCTAGAATAGCAGAAAAAATGCCACCAGGCTGCTGCTGTATCTGTCAGCTTGGTTTATATAACTATGCTGCATAACAAACATGTCCTACATTCTCAGTAGCTGATAGTGAGCAGGAAGCATTTCCCACTTGCCACAATAGTGCCAGGCTGTTGGGGTGTGGCTGAGCTCCACTCTTCTGTTCTGAGAAGGAGAAACCCTTGTCTGAGATCTTGTGGGTCTTCAGCCTATGCTTAAGATGGCAGAACGGTGGTCTGGGTGAACTCCTTTCAGAAGCACTCTGCTGACCATCAAGAGTCCTGTGGGCAGGAGACAGACTCCTCCACGGTGTGGGACAGCAAATATTTGGACAATAACACAAGTGACCCTGCAGCCAGTTCCATGGAGAATTGACCTGAGACTTTTATCCCTGGCCAGGTCCAGCAAGCCGGTAAACCAAGCTAAAGCCACTACCGTCGGTGTTCATTTTTAGTTGTGCTCTGTCCTGGTCATGCCCGAGCTGGAAGGAGGTCCTGCAGGTCCTGTTTCTTCTTTTTTCTTATCTTTTGAAGTAGAGTCTCCATTTGTAACTCAGGCTGGCCTCGAACTCCATCACGAATGGCTAGGCTATTAGCCACCTGCCACCACTCACTGATTCTCAGCTTTGGCTTTCTAGGGGTACTGAAGGTTGAACCTGTGGAGTTTAGGGTTTGGCCTGGGTTTTCCTCGTTATTTTGTCTTAATGTTTTGTTTGTTTTTCTTTTGAGATGTGGTCCTACTCTATAGCCCAGGATGGCCTCAGACTAATGGCAATCCTCCTGCCTCAGCCTCCCAAGTGTGAGATTACAGGCAGGAACCATATCCTCGGTTTAGGGTTCTCTTGTTACTGTTATTTGGGGGTTTTATTGTTGTTTGTTCATTTGTTACTTGGGTCTGGGGGGGTCGTTTGGGGGACAGGTCCTCATGAAGCACAGGCTGGTCCTAGCCTCAAACTCACTATGTAACCAACAATGACTCCAGTTCCTGCCTCCATCTCCCGAGTACTGGTATTACAGGTGTGCCCCACCACACCCACTGTATGTGGTGCTCAGGATCAGACTTGGGACTCTGCGCGTGCTAGGCAAGCACTCTATCAACTGAGCTACGTCCCAAGCCCAGGTTTTTGTTTTCTTTCTTTTAAGCTTTTTATCACATTTAATTATTCTGTGCACATAGCACAACTTAGAGGACTCGATTCTCTCCTTCCACTGTGCAAGGCCCAGGGATGGAACTCAGACAGCCAGGCTCAGCAGCAAGTGCCTTTCCACGCTGAGCCCTCTCCATGGCCTGGATTCTGTTTTCTAATCCACTCGAATCGATGCTTGGTGTGGTCCACGGGGGAGAAGCACTAGAGACCGACCCTCGCTGCTCATGGGATCAGAAAGCTGCAGCCGCTGGGGAAGGCAGCGTGGCCGCGTCTCTCTTAACCAAATCCCCCACCCCACCCCACCCCCAGGAGCAGCAATCACTGTTTCAAATGAATTGAAAACCTACATCGACACAGATGTTCACAAAGGCTTCATTCATACTTGACCAACCTGAAGGTGGCCATGACACCCATCAGTGGGTGATGAGATAAACAATTGCAGATTGCTCGTCATCAGATTATTATTATGCGCTAAAAAGAGACGCTCAAGCCATAGAAAGGCACAGGGAGCACTGAGTACACATGGCCAAGTGGAACAAGCTAGTCTAAAAAGGCTGCACACCACCAAATACAGCTATAAGACATCCTAGAAAAGAACTGAAACCATGGAGACCACCAAGATCAGGGCTGCCCAGGTGGAGGGGGAGGGGAAGGGCAGGCAGAGCACAGAGGACATCTAGGTTTGTGACTCCAGGGACGTTAGACACTGGCCATGACACGTGTGTGGAAACCCAATCAGACAACTCGCTAAAAGTGGGCCTGAGTGTAAAACAATGACTTCATTTATTAACAATGTGTGGAAGACAAAAGCAGGCACGCGAAGCTGAGCTCTTCCCACCGGACGCCAGCAGGGCTGTGCACTGGCAAGCTCTGGCCCCAGTTCCTGACCAGTGTGGCGCTATGCAAGCGCTCGTGCCGCTCAAAGCCTCACTCTGCACATCTGTTAAATGGGTGCTCAAGCCTTGCTGAGGGCTATTAACAAGGGACATGTCCTGGGTACCCCAGGGCCCATCCATGAGTGGAAATCAGGGAGGAGAGTAGCCTGAATGACAATTTACATCCAAAAGTTGGAGCCTTGGCCCGTTTTCCTTCCCTAGACGCCTCCCTTGGTGCCGAGAACCTGCCCCTCACCCTTCACACTGAGCCTAGAATAGAAACCTCAGGCTCCCACCCACTCCATCAGCAAGCCAGACCAGGCTCCCACTAAATACATCCTGTGGCATTCCAACCTTTTAGCTCTCTATCCCAGGAACACCCCAGGCCTCAGGGCCTTGGCACAGCCAGTTCCCTCTGCCAGCCCATATGATCCTGAGCGGTCATCCGCTAGGGGCCCTGCCATGTCCCGTTTTAAGTAAAACCTGGTCGCTGCCCAACTGCCACCTTCATGTGTACTACAGATCACTGGGTTTGTTGTCACCTCCCACAGAGGTCTGGGGAGACGGGAACTCTGGCTTTATTCTTCCTGATTTCTGACATCTACATCCCCTGGAACACCTGCCCCCTGGCCTCATGCCTCTGTGGTCACAGCACCCTCCTGTCACCCCCGGTCCTCCTGCTGGCTTGCCTTTTCTATGCCAGCAGTGAGTCCTTTTGCTTCTGTCCCTCAGAGATTACCCACTGCCTTCCACAAAATCCAACCTGTACCCTGACAATCAGGCCCAGGTGGCCAGGGGAGGGGGAGGCCCAGCAGTCACACCCACATTCACCTTCAGTAATCTGTCCCCGGGGTCAAGGCCTACCAAGACCCCAGGCAGCCCTCAAGGCCTACTCTCTCTTGTGTCTTTTGACCATGCCACTAGCACGCGCACCTTTCCCTCATAGCCCAGGTCTGCCAAGGGGTCCCAGACCCCTGCATCTAGAGACCTACCCATCCGTGCCCAGGGTGACGGCTGCCTGACATCATGATGACAACACTTGGATGGTTTGTACGATGTCAAACATAGCATCTGCCTTTCATCCTGGGCACGGGACAGGACAGTGTCACCCACCGCCATCCTGTATGCAAGGGCAGCAGCCACAGGACACCAGAAATTTCCCAGTCCAAATGGAGAAACTGAGCCCCCCACAAGGACAAGAACAGCCTGGTTAGAGCCACAGGGACTCAGTCTCATGTGTGACACTGCTTCCCGGGGCTAGGCATCTTGGGGTGTCTGTTGAGGATGCCTGCAGAACCCGAGAGAGGATGGGGGCATTGGTCTCTGCGTCCTCACTCAATCCTCACTGCTTTTGAGAAAGCCACCCCAGGATGGGATGGACAGCAGCAGGGTAGTAGGTGGGCACAAAACTGTGAGAGTCATGGCTAGAGACAGCTTGCACACAAGGCCTCTCTGCAGTGTACAGACCTATGACAACATCCTACGTGACTTACTTGGGTCCCTGAGGCCCAGTGTTCTCCTAGCCCATAGTTCTGCTGCCCAGCAGCACCCAAGGCATCACTGCCCTGCGCTCCCCTCCCCGCCCCCAGGAGCACCCTCAAGCCCACAGGCAGCTCTCATTTTGGGGGGGTCTAACTCCCCATTCAACAACAGGCTGAGGGCTGCTGGAAGCAGTGGGACCTGGCCTCTCAGTGGAGTAGGGGCCCTTCTCAGGGTCTGGCCCAAGCAGGGCCTCTCCGGTAGTTGGGGGAAGGTGAAGTTAATTACACATCCACATAGATCTCTAAAATCTTGGTCTGGCCTTGCACAGCCTGTTAGGGTCCTTCCCTCTGGTCCCACAAGCACCTGCACAAACTCTGGGTCAATCTGTTTTATATATCATCTTGTTATAAGTTTATGGATCAGAAAGAAACCCTCCCTTTTTTACTAAAAGGGGGGCTCTCTGGAACCAGTGGGGGTGGGAATGTAGGAGGGTTAGCCCCTAAGTCTTCCATGGAAGCTGCATCAGGGCCCACCCCATCCACCCCACCCACTCAGAGGTGGTCCACCCTGTCTTGACCCCCTTCATCTTCTTTCATCACCCCCCTCCCCACCCTTGTACCGAGCTATATATAGTGCAGCCCACTCTTGGGGTACCCTGCCTTATGAAGCTAGGGACACTGGAGCCTTTGGGGTTCCACTTTGCTCAGTGCATGGAGAACTCTGGTTTCCTCATTACACCACAGGTGCATGTGTGTTTTGTGCATTGGTGTAAGCCTCTGTCAGGTCCCTACACCTCCATCAGGTGTAGGAAAAGTGAGGGTCTTGTTTCCTAAACCCCTGAGTGGCTGGTGAGCAAGCCACAAGGAAGCCCCTCATATCTTATCAGGAGCCAACACCGGGCCAAGTGGTGGCAAGTCTGGTGGGCTCCCCTTCTGCCCCTCCTCCCCACCATGCTGTATCCCCTCAGCTTTTAGAGTACAAAGGTTTGGTAAAGATACAGAGACTGAAGGTGCAGTATTTTTCTTTTGGGCCTCTTTATTTAGAACCTGGCGGACGAGGAGCCCTGGGCAAGTTGGTACTGTCGGTTCAGGAACCATTTCGACAATCTGGTCACCAAGTTTTAGATAGCGAAAGCAGCTAACGGGGGAGGAAACTGAGGAGCTAGGTGGGGATGCGTTTGACGGGCACGTTGGTGTATCGATCTTCTCTAAACTCTACCTATGAGTAAATTTACATTTATGGGTAATCTGAAGCTGGTGATTTCTAGTGCCTTTGGTATAATCAATAACCCAGCAATTGCGTGGCAGAGAGAGACCCACGCGTGGATAAATAGAAAATATTAAGTTAGCATAGGTTTTTTTAACTTTTTGTACAAATATACATGTTTTTTCCTTTTTTCTCATTTTTTTAACTACGTTTCTAGCTTCCTTTTTTGTTTTTTGCACTAAGCCAGCAGAGATCAAACATTTTACATAAATGACTTAAAGCTTTACACCTTGGGACCAGCGTACTCCTTGCACACGACTCTTTAGAGTGTTATTACTAATACATTGCACAGTTTTCAGATTTCAAACACAAAACCGTGGGCTGCTTTGAGCAGCCATCGCCGGTTGCTTCTACAAGAACGAAAGGTCCCCGCCGTGGCCCAGAGTTCTTCCATCGTCCGCCGCCCAGCTGCCCAGCAAGTTCTCTCGGGGCTGTTAGGCTCTAAACTGCAGGGAGAGGGACGCAGGTGAGCACGCGGCGGGCACCCCCCGGGGGCGGCCCCTTCGCGACCCCCGGGGGGCTCCCGACTCACCTAACTCATCTCAGACGCTTGCGCGGGGTCTGCTCCACCGCGCCCACCCCGGGAGCCACGTTAGGAGAGGGGCACCCCGCAGGGACGTCGTTGGACGCCTTGTTCTCCTGCGCAGATCTCTTGCGCTTGGCGAAGAAGTCTGCGGGCGACAGCGCACGCCGGTCAGGGCGGGACCGGCCCGGAGACCCCCGAGGGGGTCGGGGAACGCGCGGGGCGCGGGCCCGGGGTGGGGGCGCCGTCCCCGCCCGCGCCGAGGTCCGCGGCGGGTCAGTTTTGTTTACGTCGCCGCGCAATGTGCTGTGTAAGCATTTCCCCTCGTCCCGCGGCCAAGCCCCCCGGGGCCGCCGCCGCACTTAACCCCCTCCGCGCCGCACACACCGCGCCCAAGACGGACACCCGCAGCCGGAGCCGAGGACCGCAATTCGAGCGGGTCGCGGCCAGGCTCACCCTCCCACTGCGCGCTCGGGAGCCTCGGGGGTGCACCCCCACCGAGAGTAGAGGGGGTGCGGGCGCAAGCCGCCCAGAACGCCGCGGGCCCTTTAATGCCACGGGAGGAGGCGGAGACCGGGCGAGGCCCCCGAGGGCGAGGGAGAGCCCGGCCGGCCGGACAAAGCGAGGCCGGGCCGGGGCGGGGCCGTGCGGGGCTCACCGGAGATGAGAGGCCCCGACAACTTCTTGATCGCACCGTTCGCAGTGGCCGCAGCAGTGCCGGCCGCGGGACGTCCTGGGATCCCCGAGAGAGGCTGCTCGCCGTTCAGGTCCCGTCCGCGCTGCGCCTGGTTCGCGTCCTGCTCCTCGCCCTGCTCCGCGCCCGGCTCCGCGTCCTGCTCAGCGTCCTGCTCGTCGCCCGGCTCCGCGCCCTGCTCCGCGCCCTGCTCCGCGTCCTGCTCCTCGTCCCGCTCCTCGTCCTGCTCCGCGCCGTCCTCAGGCTCCACGTCCGGGTTCGCGTTCGGGGTCGGCTCCGGGGTCGGCTCCGAGGTCGCGTCCGAAGTCAGCTCGGGGATCGACTCCGAGGCTGCATCTGAGGCCGAGGCCGGGGCCGGAGCCGGGACCAGGGCCGGGAGCGGGGTGGGCGCAGCGACCACGGCCAGGGCCGGGGCGCTGGGTGGCTGCTCAGGCGCCTCCTCCAGGCCGTCGAGGGCCTCGCCGGCTGGCGGCCCTGGAGGCGGGATGACAGCCACAGCCACCGGGGGAGGCCGGGGCGCCAGCAGCAGGCGACAGCGCCCCACCTGCACCGTCTCGCGGTAGAAGGCGGGCACAGACTCGCTGTCCACCTCCATCCACTGCAGACGGCCGGGGCCGCGAAGAGGCACATCCTGCTGGAAGTTGAAGTCCCAGCGGTTCTGGTCCTCTGCGCTCAGCTCCGCCAGGCGCATCCTCAGCTCGCGGCCCAGCTCCTCGTGGTCCACAGGCCCGAAGAGGCTGCGGCAGGCGCTACTGCGCGCCATCACCGGGTAGGTGTCGTTGGACGCCAAGCGCTCCATCGCTGATCTGCTGCGGAGGTACACGTCGGACATGGCCGGGGGACTGCGCAAACCCGGAGGAGAAGGGAGCGGGAGAAGGAGGAAGAGGGGAGAGGAGGAGGGCGGAGGCTGGGCGCGGGCGAGACCCCGCACAGCCCGCGTCCGCCTCTGCCTAGGGACGCGGCGGCTACCTGGCTGTCTGGTGGTGGACGGCTCCCGCGTCTCGACCGCTTGTCCTGTCCAGCCTCGGCCGCGCCCCCTCGGAGCTTGCCTTTGCCTGTCCGCTCGCTCTCTCGGGCCTAGCCGGCACCCTTCGAGCACAGCGCACTCGGCCTGTGGAACGCCCAGCCCGCCTGCGCCCCCTTTATACGCGCCGGCCCCACCCCCGCGCGCGCGGGTCCCCTCGGCGATTAGCATAATGTAGTATTTTCAGTTTCGACAACACCGTGGCCATAGGCTGGCCCGCTCCGCCCCGCCCCCCGAGGCCCGGCCCCCGCGCCGCGCTCATTGGCCGCGCGCACACACCCCCGGGGC